AAATCCGATCAATCCTATTAGTCTGTCACCCTTTGGTGGAGGACGCGAGGCAGGGAGCTGTGTTGTTGTTGTGGTCGGACAGTGATGTCGAACTGCGGCTGTGAAATGATCCTATTTTACTCAAAACTCTCAAACATACTGTATATAAAAAAGAAGAAAGGTCCTTAATACCACACTGAATAAGCAAACCATGCCCTGCACACAATGTTGATTTAAATAACAGAGGAACACATTATTAAATTGTTCTGCTCTGCGTGTAGCTAAGCTAGTAGCATCTTAAGTTGTTTAAGACGAGTGTTTTCCTTCAGTCTGTCGGGTAAAAGAGGCGTGAGCAGGACATCAGACGATGATTTGATTGGTGGGTGGAGCCTGGCAGCAGAGCGGAGGACATGTTGGGATGTGATGGCCTTCTCAGTCCTGCTGATGTGATTGGTTGTTCTCAAATCACAAACAGTGTTTGGTTGAGGGGAGGTTGAAATGGCAAAATGATCGTACATTTGGCCTTATTGACGGTACATCGTACAGAGGGCAAAATGATGGTACAGAAACTAAAGTTATCGTAAATCTGTCAACACTAGTCCAGGAAAACATGAGCAGATAAGATGTCGAGATCAAACTGGTGTATGGCACCGCCAAGGACGAAGAAAGAGCATTTATGATTTGAGATAGAAACGTGTCAGGTGGTCCACAGTTGTCTAATGTCTGACTTCTTCTCTCAGTAAAAGAAGGAAAGAGAGACGCTTGCAGGTTTCCCCCCATGGGCGGTTCTAGGCAGAGTAGCTTGGTCCCCCCTGTGGCCACCCCTCCAAAAGGAAGAACCCCCCTCATAACACATACACAGTATTTGACTCAACAACCGGACTCACAATCTAGTATTAAATACTGTTACTGAAACAAATATAAATCATGGTATTTAATGATGTGCGCTATTATTTGGCTATTATTTGGCTTTGTCTATTTTTCACCTGGGTTTAATTTTCCTTTCTGACAAAACAACTGGCCCCAGTTTTGCCCCCTCAGTAAAAGTGGTCTAGAACGGCCACTGTTTCCCCCTTTTGGTGATGCTCCACATGAAGTCCTGCTCTCCGGGCTCATGTGTGTCGCCGCGTGCTTCGGTGGAGTATCATGACTTAAATCTCTTCTAATGTTGTCTTTAAGTATCAGAGCGTGGGGCTCACTGTCGGATTAAAGCCCTCTTCTGTTGGCATCAGGCACACCTCTGAACGCCTCTGTAAAAAAAAAAGAATTATCAGAAAGCAGATAGCTGTGAGATCAGTACTGATACACTCTGGAGCGTTACACCAGAGGATTTCACTCCTCAGGTGTAAACACGATGATCTAAAGGAACTCAGCTCTGCAGTGTGTCTATAGGTTCTACTTTTTAAGATTTCCAATCCCTGCACCAGGTTTTAATCACTCACTGTTTGCATAGTCCACTATTATTTATATGTAGACATGTAACCCACCCTCCAGAGGAAACTCATTTCGGCCGCTTGTATCTGTATCCTGTTGACTGCCGAGCCAATCCGTCAGTCAATCTCACAGTCCATCCTACCCTCACCACCTTTTTGGTAACATCACTGAATGTTGTTCAAAGCTGAGCTCAAATATCACACCTAGATTTGACCACAACATGGCGACCACAGTCGAAGGGCCTCAAAACGTGTCATGAGAAACCAATCAGAAGAGCGCATTGAGATTACGTCCAGCCTATGGCCTGAAACCTAAACGAACAGACGGTTAATGGATGTTAACGGCATTTTAGAAATGAAGAAAAGTATGCTAAATAGTACCCACATTCAACCAAAACAACTGTTAAGATTCTTTTTAAATCGACCCTCAAACAGACGCTCAGGCTTTATTGAAACAGACAGTCAGTGACACGTCTGTGTGAGCTAACAGTTGCTAACATGTGCTACATTGGGTGCTCAGTGGTTGGTACACCTTGGACATTCGAAGGATTATGCAGAAAATATGTCTAACTTATTTAAACTTTTGAATAATGACACGCTAACGCCTCCGCCCAGCACTCTGATTGAATACTTAAAATAAAAAACACACAATTGAATCATGAACAAGTCCAAAGTCCTGCAGACAAACGTCCCATTAACGTCTTACTTTTTATTTTTACAATCGTCATATTGTACACATTGAAAGAACAAAGATGTAAAACGTTGATTAGTGTGAGTCTAGTTTGTGTCTTTGTTCAGATGCAGGCGCGTTGTTTCTACCTGTCACCGGCTCCATCTTTGTATTTAACCTACAGGAAACGTTAGCATCTTCACAGTCTGACCAACTCTGCAGTTTCTCCGAGGGATGATGTCACATGAAGTTCATTGCCTGAGACTCAGCTGTTTGTACTTAACGGAGGTTGTTTGAGCCGCAGTGATAGGCTATAAAGATAAAGGAGCTTAGAGGGAAAACATCCTGTGTCCTGAAACGTCTTCCTCTTGGCGTCTTGTCTCCCTCTCTGGCTGACCTTTACAGGTAAAACGACCGAGGACAAATCTTCAAGCTGGGACCCAAACGGACACTTGTCGGGTCCTTTTCGCAGTTTTCCTCCAAACAGAAATCATTTCAATGAATACGCTCAGTCCTCATCAGTTGGATAAAGGTTTTTAAAACCTTTACAGCATTGCTCACCTAAATACTCTCAACTCTCAGACCGAGAGGCTCACAGAAACTGGATTTCCTTTCCCTAAAAACGAGCAACCAACTGGAATATGGATCTTCAGTGTCAGTATTTTCCATCAACACATTCATACCAGTTTAAAGACCTTCTCTTTAGAGTCCAGAAAGCTCCACAAATCAGACAGAATCCATTTTATGTTTGGGAAGTGACATTTTTCACTGTTAGGAAAATCGTTTTAGCAGCTAGGATTTGACTCATTTCAGAATTAAACTATTAAAGAGGACATATGATCCCCCTCCTCCACCTTTTCAAACAGTCCCTCTGTGGTTTAAATGAAACATCTGTGCTGTGCTTTGGTCAAAATATAACATGAATCAAGCACCAGAGGAGGTTTGTGACAATTTATAAACCAGCTCTCTCAGAACGCTCCATTTTGGTGTGTGTGTCTCTTTAAATGTAATGACCCCCCCCTGAGTTTTCCCCGTAGACATCACTCCTCTGTAGCGAAAATAAAAATGTCGGACATGCTCAAAAGTTTTGTTCTAGGCTGGGGGTGGAGTCCATGGGTGGAGATATCAGGGGAGGGGAGGGGATTTTTTTTTTTTTCCAGAATCCCACTGTGACATCACAAGGAGAGCACATTAGAAACGAAGCATTTTTCTCTGTGTTGTAAGACTTATGCAGACCACAAACAAAGGACTGGATGGGTTCATTTCACATTTTGTGGGTCAGTAGACACTCAGGTTACTCAAATATATGTTCCTAAACACTGAAGAAGTGGATTTTTCAGAATATGTCCCCTTTAAATTAAACAATGCAGCCGTCTTGGTACATTTACTTTTGGTCCTCCTTCCTTAATGAACTAACCTTTTCCGTCTCTAAATAGACTTAAACACGATGTCTGAGGGCGGGTGAGCGCTCCACGGTTCATTAGACCCCGGTGTGAGAGATGGGCTCCTCAGGCCCACCCATGTTTCAAATGAAAACCATGCAGCTTTCATCAGACTGAATTGCTCGGCTACCGGCTTAGGGCCAGTTTAATTGGCTGTTATTTCATTACTCCACAGCCTGCTGCAGTCGTGACAATCCCCCACTGGCCTCCCCCTCAGTGCTGTCAACCTGCCTGCTGGCGTCACTGAACCTATATGGTCTGCTGGCTTAGTGCCGACAGGAAGTGCTGATTGACTGAAGAAGCGGTTAGATAATTGGGGAGTCGTTGTTATGATGCAGGTCATCTTTTCACTTCTACATTGTCTTCTAAAAATTGAATATTTTCCATTACAACTATTCTGATCCATCCTTCACAACAGGGTCCTAAGACTCTGACGAGACTCTTCTCCTCTGTCGCCCCCCGGTGGTGGAATGAACTTCCAAACTCCATTTGAGTCCCTCTGCACCTTTAAGAAAAAGCTAAAGACCTAGCTCTTTCATGAATACCTACTAACTTAATGATGATGGTCTCCATATTATTGATGATGATGATGGTAATGACGATGGTTTTTGTTTGATAACGACGACTTATAAGATGGATTCTATACTGATTAGAGCGCTCAAGAACTGCCCTCAATGTTGTGCTTTGCCTCTGGTCACTTCCTGTCAGCACTTGTGTGTCCAATCGGACTCAAAGCTGATCGTTTGCTCTTACTGACATTGTTCCCTTTTTTTCTAGATCCTTGCTTGTGTTGTACTTACTCTCTGATGTACGTCGCTTTGGATAAAAGCGTCTGCTAAGTCAATTATAGAACAATTACAAGAGTGTCTGCAAATTATCACTTTTTCTTCGTCAAGTTCTGACCCTGATTACCTTCTTTAAAATTCCAACCTATCCAGATGCCTCTTCAAAATGAGTGCAGTTATTTGTTTTTGCTGACATCCTGTTTTTTCTCTGTGTTTTGAAGGTAGCAGCACTTCTTCGGGATCAGATGGGTTGTTAGAAGCTGAAGATAAAAGGATTACTCTTGGCTGTTGAACACAGGAGGTCCACGGTGCCAAGAGGGATCATCTGGCGAGTCGAGGCCTAACACTTCTTCTCGGAGACAGCTGAAGGACCTGTCCTGACACATCAGACCGGCTCTCCTGATTTGTTAACCTGCCATGGAGTCCAGAAGCCTTCTGTGACCACAGGTCTCAAGAGACGTTTGGCAGCACTCTTTGGGTGGTTTGGATTATCTGCCTGGGATTTTGTAACATTTTTTCCTCCTGAAGGGATTTATGCTCTCAGTGAGGAGAGGTCATCTTTGTTGATATGAATCGACCCACCGCCTTTGAATCCAACGCATATGAACGCCATTCATGGTGGTCATCACACTAAAGCTAAGGCCTGGGAGGACAGTCACTTGTCAGGGAGTAGCTTGGACTCAGGCCAAATATGGCCAGAGACGTCAGTCCTCTGAGTCTGATGCCTTTCTCTGCCGGGCATCAGCAGTGGGTTGGGGCCTCTCTGGGGTTCACCCTCCCTGTGTTTCCTCTACGCTCTTTCATTTTCTACTACTTCCTGTCATGTGCAGCTGCAACCGGCAGCTTGCCTGGCATGGATCATGACTACGGCATTAGTCCCAAATTTGTTTGCACTCCTATCCCGCCAGAGGCTGACCCCAGCTGCTACTCCCCGCCCAGCGTGCCCCATGGACCGAGCAGTAACGGCCACAGCAGTGACCACGGCGGAGGTAGCCGGCGCGGCGTGATGTCCGACGAGGCCAAAGCCACCATCTTGCACCTGCGTGAGAGCCTTGTGAGACAGAAGGAGACCATTCTCGATCAGCGGGAGACCATCAGGGAGCTGACCGCCAAGCTCACTTTGTGCGAGGGCTTCGGCGGTCACCACAGCACCGGACACCACGATAGCCATCATGAAAATCACCATGACAACCACCACGATACTCATCATGACACACACGATAACCATCATGACGACCACCACGGGCATCACAACGGCCACCACACGTCAACGTCGTCCTCACACCACGGGCCTTTTCACGGCACCGACCACCACTACTCCCACGGCAGCCACAGGCCGGACACCCACCACAGGAAGGGCTCATCATATGGGAAACACACCTCCTTCTCCCCGGAGCAGACGGGCAAAACGCTGCAGACGCTGAAAGAGAGGCTGGAGAACTTGCAGGTGAGTGTCATCAGACATGTCGTGACAGTGACGTTTACATTAAAGAAACTTCTTAGGTAGATATTCATAATACACAAAAGAAAAGTATAAAAAGTGTCCTCAATACAGATATGAAGGTTACTGTGGGTAGGTTGGTGTGTAAGAAGCTCTTCTTAAACCTATCTAAAAAGTGGGCTGTGTCCGATATTCCAGTGAGTAAATATGCTGAGACATGAGCTGTCATGTTCCCACCCTCCAATGGTCCCACAGCCCAATGTTCCCACATTTCTAACAATTCTTTCCAAATTAGACCCTATGTTCCCACATTTCCTTTTTCATAAATTTGTATCAGTTAGAGTTAGGGTACCCTAACCCTTACCCTAACCCTAACCCTACCCTGTGGGAACATAGGGCCTAATGTTGAGAAAATTCTTAGAAATATGGGAACATTGGGCTGTGGGACCATTGGGCTGTGGGAACATGTGGGCTGTGGGACCATTGGGCTGTGGGAACATAGAGCTTACCACACCTGAAGTGTAGCCCCCTTCATCACCCATTGCCCGCGACCTCATCTGATTGAAACTTGACCCCATTCATTAAAACAAACGGCCTCTTGGCTGGGCAAAGATTGCTTCAATACATCGCAGCACAGACCGGGCTGGTGGTGCCCCATTTTTAACGTCTTTTCTCCTTCATTAGGTCACTATCAGTATCATGCATTTAAAGAAAACAGTGATAAACTGTTCAGTAAATAAAGCTTGTGGAGTCCTGGTTTGATTGAAAAGACTCCTTAATTAATGACAAGAAGTGACCAGCAGCGCGGTGGTGAGTCTGTACTTCACAACTATCAAAGTTACCGTAGGATGAGAGGTCAACTACCATACCAGTAGAGAGAAGGATTGCAAACTCCCCATGGTGAAAAATGATGGTTCTAGAAAGAGCTACACAGCTGCACAGAATCGGCACTCTGTGGAGTTTGCTGAATGCAATTCAAATCTTTGTGCATAATGACAGTTTAAACCTTTTTTCACCTCTGGGAGACCCCCAAAACAGACCCTATTATGTACCTCTGCAACTAATATTCTGGACCTTACAGTAATAGATGCTTTCCAATACAGACGATTTGAAACACTTGAAAATGGTCATAGAAAAAAAACAAATCTGTAAGCCCATTGGAGAACACTGACCTACGCCAAGAAAACACTCCAGGCTTCCTGATGTGCAAATCTCTGAGCATGACCACAAACGGCTTTATTGACCATGTATGCTTACACCCACCATTAAGTCATGTTCCATGATGTGGTTTTGCTGTTTCAGACAATGGTGTGACAATTTGGACAATGTAATGTCTTGTCAAATCGGATCTGGTTCAAAATTGAGTAGGCACTTTCTCGGCCCATGCTTCGGACTACAACTAACTTTAATAATGATTTGATAATGACAGGAACAAACAGCAGCAGAAATGTGACATCCTTGGGTGTCACTCCTCAAAACATGTCAGTGAAGTTTCTTGTTCTAAATCCACTCTGATCCTGTATTTGATCATGTCTATGAACCCCTCTATTTCAGCCCTGCTCAGAACAGGCTGTTTCTGTGTCTGTATCTTTAAATATGTAAATGAGCTGTGTCTGACCACGCCCCCTCTCTGGAAGGGCTTGAGTGTACTCGGTGCTTTTCGCTCCATGTCCTATTGTTTACGGTGAGAAGGCAGACTCAGAGGGCAGAACAAACACCTAGCTGTGGGAGTGTCACCCACCTGGGGGAGGGGCTACTGCCCTTTGTGATGTCATGAAGAGAAACTCTCCAAATGGCCTGTTTGAGCACACATTTTCTAAAAAGTGGAGCAGGCAGAAGACGGAGAGGGTGGACTTTTCTCATCATTGGGGGGTTTGTAGACGGACTAGGGACACATGTTAGAGTCAGAGAAACATGGAGAAGAGAATTTTACAGAATATGGGACCTTGAAGAAAGTCTACAGTGACCTTAAATGTAAACGCCGTCTGGATGAAGCTGGGTAGCTTGTTGCCTGTAAGAAAGTGACCAGAAAGACAGTTGAAGAAAACAATATAAGTCTGACACAAGTAATGTTTATTTTAAAATGTGTTAATCCTGTCTGCTGTATTTTACTGCCATGGAGTATATTTCCAAGAGTTCATTTCTTGATTTACAAAAATCTGCCTCCTCACCTTTTGGAGCGTTGAAGTACTTAGTAATGTTTCTACGAAGACGGGCTGAGTAGTCTGCTGGGAGGCGGAAGCCTATCAAAGGTTTGACTTAATTGAGGTCGTATCCTGCGTCACTGCGGGTCACGAGCCCAGCTGCCACACCAGCTGACAGTGACGTTAGCCGCCAATTTAATGTTAGAAGGTCTGCTAAACTGCACGGTGCTGTTTCTGCTCCTTCACATTAAAGATTTCTTTATGATGCATTCTTTGAAATGTCAAATATTGAGTTTTTTCTCAGAGACATGACTTTTAGTAATGTTGTAATGAATCATTTTAACTAAGATTTTTAAAACTCACAGTAGACTTCCTAAACACATCAAACAACCAACGCTATCAGCTAGCATCTCAACAACAAAGCTAATGATAAATCTTTTTTGAGACGTTCTCCTGGGACGCTCTCCTGGCTATCAGTGATCTTAACTCAACAGGAAGCTGGCCAAAGTTGATTGGCCTTCACCCTTACCTGAAACGACCTGTGACCAAACAGGAGCAACAAAAGTGGCTGTTATATCGGGGGCGGGGTCATAAAGAAGAAAGAGGGTACCAGATCTCTGTTTCATCAAACACCAGGATATTCTCTGAATCGTGTCCACAGACTTAAAGCAAACCAAACATGCAGTCTCACATGTGTAATGATTCTGGTATCACATTGTGAGAGGACGGCCCAGCTGCGCTCCGAGCTGTGAAATACCTCAGCATCAGAGCAGGTGGTCGGGGAAAGTGTTGCCGCAAATCCCCTTCAATCCCTCTGAGAGGTGTGAGACAAAACAGAAGCTGTCCGTTACTTCTCCTCTAAGAGGATGTCCGCCCCAGCAGCCTCTGGCCGTGCGACGAAGGGCAGCGACCGGCCTTGGCTTCAATTAGCCTAATCTCCGCTGACGAGGCTATTAATCGTGGCGTGCGCTGGCAGAGAACAAAGTCGGATTTTAGCCGGTGAGGGAAAAAGAGAGGAGGCAGGAGGACGAGAAGGGAGGGGCAAAAAAAACATTTGTCATGTAGCAACTTTAAATGTCCCACACTATTCTTCTTTATTGACTTCATAACAATGAGATGGATGAAAAAGCAGTTCTGACTCTCAGGTCGTAAGTAGATTTAGTCGTTTTCTTCAAAGTAAGGATTTAGTTATCAAAGGAAGGAGGGAGGCTGTGTCTGACCACGCCCCCTCTCTGGAAGGGCTTGGGTGTCTCGGTCTTTCTCGGCAGACTCAGAGGGCAGAACAAACATCTAGCTTCTTGAAGAATGACGCTGCCTTTCAGAAGTTGTAGTTCTAACAATCCCCTCTAATTATCCATCACCTACTATTCTTTAATGTTTCCAAAAACTTTAAAATGGGTTCCTACCTGGCAACCAACTGATGACAGCTCAGAGATTTGACTTGAAATTCAACACTGTATATATTCTCATTTGTTGCTCAGATTTTGTAGATTTTTATTGGTCAAACAGTTACATTATTTTCGCATCTTAAGCCGATATTTTGTTAAACCATGTTTAATCCTTTTTCTGAGTTTAGCAAAAGTTTTATGTAAAGATTCAGCAGAAGGAAACTGACCTCCAGAAGTTGTAGTTCTTACAATCCCCTCTAATTATCCATCACCTACTATTCTTTAATGTTTCCAAAAACTTTGAAATGGGTTCCTACCCGGCAACCAACTGATGACAGCTCAGGGAGATATCACTTGAAATTCAAAGCTAGTTGTTCAGATTTTGTGGATTTTTATTGGTTAAACAGTAACATTATTTTTACATCTTAAACCGATATTTAATAAAAAAAATTAGCATTCAGATGTTGACATATAAAACAGGGTCTGCTGGTTGTTTCCACACACAAGTCTGAAAACAAAGGGAGAGTTTCATGAGCCCATATTTCCTGATCTGACCTGCCGATTTAATGATTTTGTTCCAATGGGGTTTTCTTTCTTTAAACGACTTTAACTGACAGCAAAAAAATTATAATAATAACCTTTTCTTTCAAGAATATTCATTTTAATTTCATTATAAAACGCTGATTATTGCCATTATTGATAATGGCAGTAGTATAAGTGTTTGCGTGGCTTTGTGGGTCAGAGTCTAAGATCGGCTGGTCTCCGATCAACAAGCTGAGAAAAAATTTAAATCCGGTCACCAGCTGATCGATCGGTAAATGTTAACTTTAAACCGTCTGATGCGTTTTTGTCTCTGCAGGCGAGGAACTCCTCCAGCTCCTACTCCAGCTCGCTGAGGGAACTCCTCCAGAGGAAGATCGCCGCGCTGGAGGAGCAGCTGCACAGCTACTACAGAGACCACCACGACGACCGCCACGACGACCACCACGACGACCACCATGACGACAACCACGATGAACACCACGCTGACCCCCGGGGCGGCAGCAGCCACCCCGATGACCACCACGACGATCACCACAACGACCGTCGCACAGATCACCACACCAGCCATCGCAACAACCACCACGGAAGCAACAGGTACAACCATCGCACAAGTCATCAAAACCGCCACTACAACCACCATTACGACTCGCACCACAGCCGGCACGATGGTCACTACGGTACCCATCACAGCAACCACCGCAATGACCATCACGATGACCACGATGACCACCACGATGACCACCTTGATCCCCACGACGACCACCATGATTACCACGATGACCATCACGATGACCACGGTGACTATCACCACGGAGCTGGATACCACGATGACCACCACGGTGACCACCATGACGGTCACCACTATGACAGCCACCACGACGACCATCACCCGAGGCGTCAGCAGTCCGGCGGCAAAGAGACGAGTCCTCAGGGTCACAGCAAGCTGGAAACCGTTCTCAGCCAACTTCACCACGCCACCGGCGACCACGGTACGGACACACCCACACACACACACATCTTAAACTTGAGCCGTGAATATTCCCGGGCTAAAGGATCCAAAAAATGACAAAGAAAATGTTGATGCCTCCATCTTTGTGTGCAGTCTTTTCTTAGGCACACTGTTGTGGTCGCTCTAGGCCAGTGTTTTTCAAAGTGGGGGTCCAGTCCCTCCGGGGGGTCACCAGAGAGTGCAGGGGGGGTCGCGAAAACTTGGAGGGAAGAGGGAGAAAAATGGAACAAGAAATAAAAACCTTAGAACAGAATATGTTTTTTATTACTTTTTATCATCATCATGTCTTAACATACAGTACACATATTTTATATTCAACATAAGGATGACAATATTTTACATATTTACACAAGTGGTGTGGTGTCAAAAGGTTGTGTCCCCCCAGTGATGTTGGAAATACTAAGAAATAACAGTTACAATACAGAAACATGTTTTACAGTTTGTTTAAAGTAGCTTGAAGTAAAAACTGAGGTAGCTTGGATCTGTGTCACATAAATTCATAAATGATTCCCTCCATCAAGGTTTTCTTCCCTTTCTCTTTATGATATTTAACATCTTTAGGAAGGGCAAACAAACAAATGAGTTATATAAAATGAAAGAATAAAATTTAATTAAAAGAAAGAGAAGAAGATTCAAACAACAAAAAAACCACAAAAGAAAATAGTATTTGTGACAATGAAATGACAATGAAATAGTCAAGAATTGAAGTGAAGTGACCAAATGCGTTCTCCGCCTCGAGGTTGATATTTGCCATAGTGTTCAGGAATTTAAGAAATGTTGCAACAGGGGGGGGGTCTGCCCTCCATCAGTCATCAGTATCAAAGATTGCGTACCCTAAATGTCGAAACTAACTCTCCCATAGACCGTTAGTCCCAGCAGACCATCTAATCCCTAACCCAGTCCACTAACACCAACTACCAGTTTAAGACGATGCATACTGAAATAATGACCTGATCCTGAACTCTGTCTCATTAGGAAATCACAAGAAGCTAAAGAGTCCCAATGCTTTCCTTCTGGACTTCCCTATGAGGACCAACTACATGTACGCCAGGATGAAGCGGTCGGTCATCAACGAGATCTTTGCCCTGACCGTCTGCATGTGGATGAAGGCGGGGGAGGGACCGGGCCTGGGTACTCCCATATCTTACGCTGTACCTGGACAAGCCAATGAGCTGGTGTTGATCGAATGGGGCAGCAACCCGATGGAGCTGCTGATCAACGACAAGGTAAGAGCGATGCCATACCACCCAATGGTGCAGAATCCAGATAACACACCAAGCCCCCTCATCACGGCGTTGTTCCTAGGGCTGGGCGCGTTAAGGTTCTTTGTCCACCTAGCGTTTTTTCCAGGCAGAGGCTGTGGCCATAGACCGGCTGTAATTCCCCGCTCTACAGCCCGGATGTAAACAAGCACACGGGACAGTTAGCATCTGGTTAAAGGGGATTGGTTTGACAAAGTTGATAAAGTTGAATGTGAGCTTAGCCAGGTTAAACTGGATTGATGCATAACCTCATTTAGCAGAGTCATGTGGATGTTCAGCTGCAGGGAGGACCGAAGGCTGGAGATGCTAGCACTGATAACGTTAGCCTCCCTCGTCAAACCAAACTACATCGTCTACCTGGTGACAACTTAATGATCAATTTTGTCTGTTTTTTCTGAGTGTTTTCTTATCTTAAGAGGAGTCTGTTAGTTAGTCGCTTCTGTTCCTTCTGTAACTAAAAATGAGTCGGTTCATCTCTACAGAACAGGAAACACCAGTTCTACTTTACATTAAAGGATTAAAGATTTGGGCCTCTCTATGAAGCTCTTATTCGGGGGATTTTTCTGTAAAAAAAAGCTGCTTCTCTAAGCTTTATTAGACCGGTCACAGTGGGCAACAATGCAGCTCTCAAAAATCCTTTTTAAACCTTCAAAATCGGCCACGGCTCAGAGAAGGTTACTTCTCTGTGTGTGTGTGAGTCAGGAGCTTTAGGAAACGTCTTTTTGCCTCTTATTGTCTTTAAAGTATATCTCCAATAAAAAGTAAGACAGTGACATATCTTTGACTTAAAACTTTTTGTTGAAAATCATTTAAATCTCAGAAGGAATGTCGTTTTAGTGTCTTAATGAGACGTTGAGTTGGACACAGATTCTTGACCAGGGGCGTGTCCAGAGGGGTTAGTGGATTCTGATTGGCCACCCTAGGTGCCACCCCAAAAATCCTAAACTGTAATTGGCTATTTGCCTTGTTTGGCCATTTTGGGTGGACCAAAACATTCCCAATTAGTGTATTTTTGTGTGTTTTTTTAAGTACTTTGAATTGTGTATTTTGAACATAAATCTTATTTTTGTGTCTTTAATGAATTAAGCTAAGAGGACATATATGTTTCATTATCTTGTTGTTTAAATAACAGTACATTAGAAAGGGTAAACAATTGATATTAATTAGTGTGTGAGTGTGTGCACATCACACTTCCGGCCACCCCTGCATAAGTCAGTGCCCCAGTTGGCCACCCCGGTCAAAAAAAAGTCTGGCCCTGCCCCTGTTCTTGACATACTTATTGGTCAATTAGTGTATTAGCCTCCTAATCTTGAATTCTCTGAAAGGCTGATTCCCTCGACGTAAGAGGGAAACAGATGTTTTTCTGTCCCTTCCAGTGTTCTCAACAACAAATCAGCAAAGCAATGAATCTCATTATCCTAATTGATTAGCCTAATTGTCTGTAGTAGCAACATTTACTGACGTGGTTCGTTTGTTCTAGTTACACACTTGGCAGCGATCGAAACCGGTCGATGACCAAGTTGAATGATGTCAGAATGCAGATTTTTTTCTCAGAATTTCATTCATTTTCTGGAGTTTTGAGGAGAAACGGGGAAACAGGGGTTTGTCATGGAAATACATTTATTCATGGGAGATGGGAAAAGAAAGACCATGAGATTAAAATGAACTTCTGTTGTCTCTCCTCCAACATGATGACGTGTCCGAGTCGTGAGGTCAGGTCAGGCCTCAGGATCCAATCATAGGCCGACTAAGGGCTGGTCAATAAAACAATTTCATTAGGCGATGGCGTTCATGTTTGACTGGGCCGAGCCGAGGTTGTTTGTAGCCATCTTGTTCTCCAATTTATATTTTTTATTTTGTACCTCTTTAGTTACAGTTTGCAGCTCAGGGGCTGCTCCATGTTTAAAAGCAAGTTTCTTAGCTTGTATGCGAGAGGTCACTGACTTAGTGACCCATGGCGTGTTATAGGAGTAGATTTAGACACGCTTACAGGGAACACTCATGTAAGGTTAACGCACCTCTATCTCCACATTGAAGACAAGCTAAAAGCTCTGTTGAGCACATAAAGGGAACAACAATCAGGAAGGTGTTCCTGTTAAACTCTCCCAGCACTCGTCCTCCTCGTTCCTCATCCATGTCTACTTGAGCAACAGGAATGGAAAAATGAGGGCGTGGGTTGGGGGATCAAAAGGGGGCATCACTAAATCCCTGTTTCCACCAAGTGGTCCGGTTTGGTTCAGTTCGGTACGGTACGGTAAATCCTGATCTTGCTTGCGTTTCCACAGCCAACCGTTCCCTTATTTGGTAAGCGGAGTGTAAAGCCAGATGGAGATACAAAATAGTGTGACATCATAGAAGCCCAACACAGTGTAGCCCACTGTTAATTAAGTTCAATGAAGAAGAAGAACGGGTCACAGTAAACAAAATTGACCCTTGGCACCCCAACAGAAGGGTACCAATAAAGTAGGACGGCACGGATCCCTTATTCAGGAACCATTCCCAACTTTTGACGATGGAAATGTCAATAGATGGGTACCGTACCAAACTGAACTGAACCGGACCGCTTGGTGGAAATGGGGCGTTAGTTTCAGTGTGCGGGCTGTTAGGATCGCTCATAGGAAACAGTGGAATCAAGCTGATTTGGTCGTTTGCATTGCAGGCTAATGAGTGACGGTCAAACACAAAAAGGAAAGCGTCTCCTGGCGTTTGTTTGTTTGTTTGTTTGACATATGCACAAATTTCCCCCACAGGGGATCAATAAAGTTTATCTTTATCTTTTATCTTTATCTTTATTTAAAGCATCAACAGAGATGATTGGTTCTCTTTCCTCCTCACCATTAATCGTGCGCCTGTCTCTGTCTACCTGTCTACCTGTCTACCTAGGCGGTGACATTGCCCATAACCATGACGGACGGAAAGTGGCACCATGTGTGTGTGACGTGGTCGACGCGTGAGGGCGTCTGGGAGGCCTACCAGGATGGGGTGAAAAAAGGCTCAGGGCAAAACCTGTCAGCCTGGCACTCGATCAAACCAGGAGGGACCTTCATCCTGGGCCAGGAGCAGGTGAGACTCACAGGACGCTCTCCAGTCGAGTCAGTAAACACAAGAAACTGAAGATGAGCATAAGTCATATTAACCCTTATGCATTATTATGGACATTTTTGTCCATTTGGTCAAATGTTTCCTCTTCATCTGGTCATCATTTTGTCTGTGTTAGTGCATATGGCACCATTTTTTGTAAGAAAGTCTCTCTTGACAAATTTTGGGATGCACATTTAAATTGTTTTAATAGATCAATAGAACACAACATGTTTACTACCCTCTTAAGTCACTAAGGACAAAAAATGTCCACTTACAAAAAACTGCTGTAAAAATAGAACAGATTGATATTTTTTTCTACTTTTTTCTGCATAAATCTCTTAAACAACTCCAGCCCTGCTCAAAACTACCAAACATTCAATCATTTTTAGCAATTTAACCCTTTAAATGCCAGTTTGATTACTTGATGTCACTGTTGTTATTTAAGAAAAAAATAAGTTATTTTCAATAAAACAAATAATTGGTGGCTGGTGGATTTTTTTTAAATCAGTCTTGGATATGTCAAAGATTATCCAAAATATTGACTTTGGTGCATTGTTAGTTTTTGTGTAGCATCAGATTTAAAATGTAGTTACCTGTTTGGACATTGGAGGGCGAAAATGTGCATAAATCTCTTAAACAACTTCAGCCCTGCTAAAAAATATCAAATATTGAATAATTATCAGGAATTTAACCCTTTAAATGCCAGAATCATGTAATCAAACTGAGTCAAACTTTGTCCTTAGTGACTTAAGTGCTGGGTAGACTTTACAATCAGGACATGCTCTTGGGGATTAACACATTGTTGAGAATCTGGATGTTTGTTTGGTATCCCTCATTAGAGAGAGATTCAGGTTTTTGTGCAACTTTTTTTAAAATCCTGACCCTGTTCCTCTTCATTGTTCCCAACAGGACACGATGGGAGGCCGCTTCGACGTCACTCAGTCCTTCATGGGGGAGCTGTCCGATCTACAGTTCTGGTCCAGAGTCCTGACGGCCAATGAGATCCACAGCCAGGCGACCTGCGCGGGCCACCTCACCGGTGACATCATGTCCTGGTCAGAGGAGGCGGTGGAGCTCCACGGGGGACTCACAGAGTTCGCCTTCGACCCCTGCCACTAAAAATAACATCCCCATCAAGAGCCGCAGCTTCATCCCCCTGGACGCTGTTCATCTCATTTCCACTTCAAGAACCGCTCGGAGAACGGGGAAATCGTTATTTTTGCCAAGGATTGAAGATGGGTTCATCGATGTCGTGCATGCCCTGATTTCCTGTCCCGTCAGTCGACTGAGATTGTTATAACACCAGCTCAGCATCGGGCACAGACAGAGCAGGGAGTTACTTTGTGTTTTTTTTTTTTTTTATCTTCCTCCCTCCTCCCTGACGCTCTCAGCAAAGCGACTTTGAAGGGCACCGGGCTTTGGATTTAACGGCTGTGTGATCATGACTCGGCCTGCTCTGAGAGAGCCAACACACCTAAGAGGATTTCATCCCATCAGGACAGGTCCAAAAGGTTGCTGGTTGCTCTTCTGGTGTTGGATTGTGAGCAACAGGAACAGGAAGTGAAAGAGTGGCTTAAAGACACAGGATTCTTCTGAATAAATACACCTGGAGACCTGAACTGTGATGATTCAGACTTGTTGATGAGGTGTTGATCTGCTCGTTGGTTGTGCAGACGAAGGTCTAATGTATGTTTTTTTACAGTGCAGATTAAAAAAAAAGAACAACCTACTGATGTCATTTTGCACGTTATGATTTTGGCAGATTGTTTTTTTTTTACTAGTATTTCATATTGAAAACTAATGCGACCCATTTGTTGCATGGCTTTAACCTGAGTGTGGCGTTTTAAATTATCCGTCGAGCCATTATGTAAGAGTACAAGAAACATGACATGTTGCATGACACACACATGCGAGGACCCACCTGACCACCTGACCACCTGACCACCTGCATCTCATACAGAGTCATGTCAGGGGGGGCGTCCGCTGGCTTACAGCAGGATTTACCTGTGAACAACTGATCTGATCCTGCCTATTCCCGGCCAGCTCAAAACCTTATGGCCGAGCCACACACACACACACACACACACACACACACACACACACACACACTGACTTGCACACGCTCAGAAGATCTAAAGGTGTACAGAGACGATGCTGATCTCCTGCTTTTCTGTCCATAGACGCACCTTCATGTTTTTATCACAAAAGAGGTTTTTGTACATGTGTATGACATACTATTATCTTTTAAAGTATTAAACGCATTTATCATTTTATTTCTTACTCTGTAAATAATTCAGTAAGTACATAAACTGTGCGTGTGTGTGTGTTTTTAAAGCACATCTTTGGGAGTCAACTGTTCTTGGAAAAAACAAACTTTCATCAGTTAAATCAGTTTTAAAATGTCTTTGTCCATAGTCACTTCTTTTGGGGGGTATGTGTTGTTGCCATGGTGATGGATTCTCTCAGCATAAGGACCACATCATCTAAAGTTTTGGGGAAATCTGCAGTTGTTTTTTTTCTGCCAACACAAGCAGCACCATGTAGCTTCATATGCTAGCGGGCCAAACGCATTCTTCTTGTTTTTGTTTTCGTTAGATGACAGTTATCACATCGATGTGTCGTTTGTTGACAGTAAACATGTGAAATAAGATAATCGACCCTAATGCTTAAAGGACTTGCTTATTCTCGCCTTGTGTACATTTAAATGTCTGTTAGCTTTTCTAGGCCGTCGTGTGTGAGATGTGTTCAGTCAACAGTCCCTCCCTCCATGTGTAAGCCAAAACTATAAACTGACGTGTAAAACTTGAAAGAGGCGCTGTAACTGCTGTCCAGATTTGTAACTCTGTCAAGATTTTGAATAAAACTATTTCAATATTTCATGAATTCAACAAGACTACGAGCTCGTGTTTCTGAACTGCTCTCCTCCCCTTCAAACAGAGACGGACAGGACGACTGTGCAAACGGCTTCCAACAACCGATATTCATGCTAACGGCTAGAAGACAAGCGACTCAACAGAGAGGTTCCAGAAGTAAAGAATCCCGTTCATTTTCTCCACAGCCGATTGAAACATGAATCTGTGTTGACATTGGGTCATATATGTAGAAATGTGAAATACATTTTGAAGTTGGTGCCTTCTTGACTGAGAAGAGGCAGAAAGTGTCTTTTTGGCTCATGGATGAAAGACACCAACTCCCAGAATGCACAGCAGGTCTTGTGCCTCAACTGCTCGCCACTACATTGTGGCTCTTAGAGATAGCCACGAACAACTAGCATAGCTTCCAAACAAGATGGCGGACGTTGAGTTTCGATTCTGAGAGTGAGGTCCCACCCACTGATCTGTGATGGGTCTGTAGCTTCAGTGGACTGAACTAGCGATGTAGTAAAGATAAAGATTAAGATATTTTTTGGTCACAACAGCTCAAGAAACAGGAATATAATTATCAAAAATAACAAGAAGTTAAAAATAAAACATATGTACATCAGCTAGTTTCACCCAGAGCAGCCTCAGATGACGCAAAATGACGATTTTTGCATCATTGGAGGCTGCTTTTCAGACGAGAAATACAGATCTTTATGAGGGCGGGATGCACGACCATTAAAAAATAAAATGTCATTGCTCTAAATTACCTTTTTTTTCTTCCTTCTTTAACTCAGAAGGTGAGCGTGCAAACCGGGTCCTACCAGCTGGATGCTGCAGGGACAGAAATGCTTCCTGTTCAGTCAGAACAGAGCTGACTGGATCAGCAGTCAGTACCGCTGCATGACACTGGGGGGCGCTGTGGTTATAGTCAGATAGAGGAGGAGTAGGTATAAACTTTGACTTTGTGTCTGTTTATTATACATTCAACATATTCTAATTCATTTTAAACACAGATTTACTTTTTATGAGTTTGTAAACCATTTTAGGGAAAATATATGAATATGAATAAACAAACAATAAAAAACAACTGAGAAGCTGTCTCTGAGGTATCAGCCATGACACACACACACACACACACACACACACACACCGGACACACACGTGTGTATGATCACAGAGAGGTTAAGAATAGATTAAAGAGCAGAATGAATTATGGAGCAGTCTGCAGGAGCGGTCGCAGCTCGAGGTCATGTCAGGTTTTGTCTTTCACTTTTTAACGAGGGGTGGTGGTCGTGGTCGTGGTCGTGGTCGTGGTCTTCTTGGTGTGTGTGTGTTGGGATAGGAGGGTAATAAAAACTTTCTAGACAAATTATTTTCACAGTTTTGTGACATGTTTTTCCAAGTGTTTCTGTGGAAAAAGACCCAGAGTCTGAGCCAGGGGGGGCAGGTACCTGCTGGGTCTGTGGAGCGCTGGAGGTGGAGGTGAGGGGGGCTGGAGGTGGAGGTGAGGGGGGCTGGAGGTGGAGTTACCACACGTTACTGGAGAAGGGACCACAGTGGGAGGCAGAGTGGGGGGGTTGTGGGGTTAAATAAAGACAAAGTGGGACTCCTGAGGTGACGATCCTCCAGACTCTGATTTCTTCAGCTCAGTCACACGCTGCTGCTTCAACAATTCAAACAGAAACACCACTTTGTAAACTTGAAATGAGTGATTCCTTTTTCCCCAGTATTTTCTCAGCTTTTTTTCTACTATATCGCTGTTGATTTTTGTTTTTATTTATTTTTTACCGTACATATATATATCAGGCACTACACTGGCTCCGCTCTGGAAACACCAACCTCCTCCTTCCCCCCCAGGACTAAACTCCACACCATGGGAGACCAGGGCCTTCTGCTCCACTGCTCTCAGTCTGTGTAATGCTCTCACTGACCACCTGGGGGCGCCCAATATATACAGTCTATGGGGGCGCCACAGTCTCCATCTCTTTAACAGAACGCCTTTTGCTGGTGTTTTTAGTTTCCTTAGCTGCCTTCCTGTTTTTATTCTCATGGTTTATTACTATTGATGAAATTGTTATTTTTTTCAACTCTGTAGCACTTTGAGATTATTATTATTATTATTATTATTATTATTATTATTATTATTATCATTATTATTATTATTATTATTATCATTATTATTATTATTATTATCATTATCATTATTATTATTATTATTATCATTAACATTATCATTATTATTATTATTATTATTATTATCATTATCATTATCATTATCATTATCATTATTATTATTATTATTATCATTATCATTATTATCATTATTATTATCATTATATTATATTATTATTATTATTATTATCATTATTATTATTATTATCATTATCATTATTATCATTATTATTATCATTATTATTATTATTATTATTATTATTATTATCATTATTATTATTATTATTATCATTATTATTATTATCATTATTATTATTATTATCATTATTATTATGATTAGTGTTGATATATATTTGTGGTTTTCACCTCATTTATTGTAACGCTGCTGTTTAAAGTCTGTGGTTGTAATTCCTCACTGTGTCCAGCAGGTGGTGGTGTAACGTTACGAATCGTTCCCCCTGCAGCGTTACTTCTTTTCCCAGCATGCACCGCGAGTGAGCGGCAGCATCACATCAGACCAGCGGACGCAGAGGAGATTATAGCGGAATATCTGTGTGTCAGGTAAAGAGTCTTTCTGAAGAATAAGCTGCTTGTCGTGTCCTTTGAACGATGTCATTTATTCGTTTTAAACGTGTTTATTTCATGTTTTCATATTAAACTCTGTGAAAATGCCTAGAAGTGTTTTAATCATCCTTTAAAGGTCCTTTGCACCTGACCCGGTTTAACGTTAACGTGTTTTGAGATTAACGTGAACAGGATCATAAATTACGTAATTTTTAATGACAGATATGTCTTATAAATGTCTTTTTCAAGCAAACAACCGAACCGAAATGACTTGTCACCTTTTCTTAGCTAGCGTTAGCCAAACCTGCTTCATTTTGCGTCAGAAAGTTCCCATTAGATGTTGTGCGCATGCGTGTTATACCAAACTCCTTTTGCGAAAGTGATATTTCTAAATAAACGCGGTTTTGTTCTTAAACCTGTGTGTCGCAAAGCACAGATGAAGGTTTGACACAACTCAGTGAAGTCTTACAGTTAATTCGGCATACAACACTTTTACCAAAAACTTCCTAAAATTATTTAATTAGGAGGTTTATTAAGAGGTGCCCCTGCTGCCTGCTGCCCTGCATCACAGGGTTTTGAAGATAGACAGCCCCCCTGTTGTTATGCAGATTCTGCATTAGTTTCTGCATTAGTTTCTGTGTGTGTGTGTGTGTGTGTGTGTGTGTGTGTGTGTGTGTGTGTGTGTGTGTGTGTGTGTGTGTGTGTGTGTGTGTGTGTCAGTATCTGAGTGAAGAGTTGCTCACACACGGTTTGTCCTCTGCAGATTGAACCAGGAGGTGAAGATGTCTGAAGAGATGGAGGAGAAGATCAAGAACTACAGGACGGCTCCTTTTGACGCCCGCTTCCCCAACACCAACCAGACCCGCAACTGTTACCAGAACTATCTGGGTAAATAAGACACCCTGCTTCACACCATTTACTTCACATGAATCATGAAGTCCAGACTACATCAGGACTGTTGAGAGGTTTTCTTCACACCCTGTGTACTATAACACCTTTATAATGCATGCCGAGGTTTCCTGCTGCTCAGTGCCTTTTTTAACTTCCCTTCATCACGTCTAATTGTCCATCCTCGTCCTACTGGACCCAGAAACATCCCGAGTCAACCAAAACAAACCAGACCATGAGAATCCAGTGTGAGGACAGAGTCTCTGCAGACACAGTGACCACCACACATAAGAAGGGACGATGGAGCAGCTTTACTTAAGTTTGTTTTGTTTTTTAAGAAAAAAGCTGCTGACTCATAATTTTCATGTTGTAATTGAAGAGATGACTTTATGTTACTAGTTCTTCTCAGACTCTGAGATCTGACTCGTTTCTCAGGTACTTGTTTTAACTGTTTGGCTGCTGATGGCTCTCAAAATGGATTCTAATGTTCTTTTTACAACCTGAAAAGTTTCCCTCTGAATACGGCGATATTAAACTTTATGACACTAAAAAGTTCTAGTGTCGCAACCCGGCTCATAGATCGAGACAAAGTATGGAGACGAGCTGAATGGGCCATTTTTAAACCAGTAGATTTATTTATAAAACAACGTCATTAAATCATTTCAATGTGTCGTCAGCAGTGTGTGCACGGGGGAACAGAACAGAAAATAATAATCTTTGTTAAGCCAGAACCAGAACCAGAACCAGAACTAGAGAGTCAGCACACCAGGGTCAGAGTGTCAGAGAGTGAAGATCTTCTTTGACTAAAGTGGACATGATTTTATCAGCAGTGTCAGGAATCCCCTGCTCTCTGTTTCTTTTTCCTTCTGGACTCATTCTCCCCCCCCCTCTCTCTCCTCTCTCTCTCTCTCTCTCTCTCTCCTCTCTCTCCCTCTCTCCTCTCTCCCTTTCTCTCTCTCTCCCTCTCTCTCCTCTCTCTCTCTCCCTCTCTCTCTCTCTCTCTCTCTCTCTCTCACTCTGTTTTCTGCAGATTTCCACAGATGTACTAAAGCTCTGTCTGCTAAAGACCAGGACACGGCTCCCTGCGATTGGTACCAGAGGGTCTACAAGAGTCTGTGCCCCATGAGCTGGGTGAGTTCCCCCCCAAACAACCATCCTGATGTGGAACTAAATGAAACATCTGAGACCTTAGGTCACATTGTAAAGCTTCTCTGTTTCTATTATTTTACTTTATATGATCCACCACAACTAAACAAGGGTCTCTCTTTACAAAGACAGAATGAATGACCATCTTCTCTCTGTACATGTTACATTACATCTGGTCTTTAATCTCTCTCTCTCTCTGTCTCTCTCTCTCTCTCTCTCTCTCCCTGTCTCGCTCGCTCGCTCGCTCCTGCAGGTTCAGAAATGGGACGATCAGTTGGAGGCGGGAAGCTTCGCGGGAAAGATCTGAACCCGGCACCCTTCTTTCTCCATCCCTCTCCTCGTTTCCTCATCTCCTTCTCTTAATGTGAAGCGTCTGCTCTTTCTGTACAGAGGCGACTTAATAAATTATATAATGTTACTGTGAAGCCCGTTGTCTTGGTCCTACTTTACGCTTTCTATTTCAAACTCTTCTTGACGAAAACCATCCTGGATGTCGACCTGATGGAGCCTGAAACGTGAGCAGTGAATCTGTGAGAATGAAAAAGAAAGATCCTCTTTGGCTGAAAGGTGAAAGAGTCTCCACGGTGTAGTTATACGGCCTGATATTAAATATTAATACATAGTTCTTTTAATTTATAACGACAGCTGCCAAACATCCCGATGGAGAAAGACTGCAAGGTGGAAAACCAGAGAGAGTAAAATTTAAAGAAGAAGCCCGAGTGATGTCATGGCGGTGGCCATATTGGAAATCAATCCATCCATCCATTGTCTTCCTCTTATTCGAGGTCGGGTCGCATCGGTCATCCCAGACATCCCCCTCCCTAGAAACATCTTCCAGTTCCTCGTGGGACTCGTTGTAATTTGTTTTTTTCAGTCTTACTGACTGAAGCTGATTGCTGACTCTTAATCGCTCCTCCTTTGCTCCAAAAACAAACAACCTCAACCTTGTTGCACATCCACTCATTGATTTGCTCTCTGCGTTTACCCAGTGCTTTTATGGGACCATGGTTGCCTGGCGACATTGTAATATATATTTGTGTGTCGTTGTTTTTTTTATAATCCAAGCTAGTGGGAGCATGTAGACGTTAAACAGAAGAGGCCCCGGGATGGAACCTTGCGGAACTCCACAAGTAATTTTATGTTTGCTCAGATTTTAAGTTACCTATAGACACGAAGAAGTCCCTGTCCTTTAAGTAGGATTCAAACCAGTTTAGTACTGTGCCAGAAACTCCCACCAAGTTTTCCAGTCGGTCGAGTAATATTTTGTGGTCAACTGTGTCGAACGCAGCACTGAAACTTTAAGTCAACCTAACGATATTATAGATATCGTTTTTCCCACTTGGAGTTGGCCTAAGCTGAAGCTGACTCCAGCCGTCATTGGTCGTGAGGCACCCTGGACTGGTGGCTGACATGTAAACTACTTCTTGTTTGTTTAGAGATCATTAGAGGAATTGTATCGTCCTTATATTTATGACATTTAGTGCTTTACGTCTGCAGGTGTATTTGAATTATTCTATAATCAGTTTGTCGTCATTTGTAAACCTGTAAGAGTTCAGGGTCAGAGACCGAGACCGCTCTGTTTTTGAATCAGACTCGAACAGAAAGGAAGAGATTGGTGTTTGTGCTCGATGCGTTCCTGTCATAGCAGCTAGAAAATGATCTCTATGAAAGAGTGTGAACCTGCTAAACCGCTCAAGGTCGACTCAGCACTTTTTTAGCTTTTGTCACTGAAGAAAGAAATGTCGGTCTACCTCTGTGGCTGCTGAGAAACATTTAGATTTAAACTGATGTTGAAGTTTCTCTGAACTCGTTCTCTAAACTTCAACATCCTTCGTTCATTCTTCTGCACGAGCCTGCATGAGTCACAATCAGCTGACTGTTGATGTTTTCACTGAGTCACGAGCAGATCACAAGACTGGAGGACCTGCAGTGTGTGCACTAACTTAATACCTGATATCACCGCTTTTATTTAAATTACAGAGGGACAAAAGCCTCGTGCTGATCCTGTTTACAACCTATTTTTATCTCTGAATGCAGAAAAAAAAAAATCTAAAATCTCTTTAGCTGGAGAATCATCCGAGCTGCACCACGCGACCCGTTGCCCTAGCAACGTTGCATCAGCATCCGCAGCATTAGGATCACCCAGCAGCATACTGTCAAGGTCGCCGGCGTGAGGCATCATGGGAAGCCGAGGAGGACACCCGAGCGAGGCGACAGCATTCCCACACGACCCCCCCCCTTGGTTCTCACGCGCATGCGCACATGCTTCCGTTAAACCGAATGAAATAAAGACCACGCGACCATAATAGGACATCGACTCACGGGGTGCGGTGATGATGCACAGGAGTCACGCATTTCTGCACGTAGAAAGCGGAGGGGCGGGGCCACGTCACGGCATCCCGGCGTCACAGTTTTTCATAGGTTGATGGAGGGGACGGGAAAGAAATAATAAACACAAGTGCGTGAGGGTACGTGCGGTTCGCCTCGCAGCTCTCGGGTAAGAGAAGTGGAGAAGAGAAAAGGAGGGAGGCAGTGCTGCAGCACAGTGACGGGTTTCCTTTCAGACGACAGGTGAGTGTCTGATTATTCCTCTTTTTAGTTCAGATTCGTGGTTTTTATTCATCATTTAGGGGCTGAAGAGACAGCTTCCTGCCTGCTCCAGTTTCACCGACATCCTAAAAGTAGAAAGATGTTAACCTACAAAACATCTTCATCCATCTCCTCACCTTCACAGCTTCAATGTCAGCTGTTTATGACTAAATATCGACTCTTACTGACGGCTCTGCCACCAGGAGGGAGGAGGAAATCTGTCGTGTCCTTCCCGGTGGAGCCGGCTGGTACCACGGACAGCGCCTAACGAGGTTTGTTCCTTTTCTTGCAGCTTTCAGCACCGGCGGGCGGGTCCTGCGAAGCCACAGCAACCACCACCTGAAGATCTCTTCCCTGGAAAAATCCTCCCGGTAGTTTGAGAAGATGGCAGAAGAGCAGGCAAGTGGTCTTCATACTTTCTGTTTACTGACTCTGGAGCCGCTCGTAGTGGTTTGTGAAAACTGCACGTGTGAGGAGTGGTTGTGTATGAAGTCAGAGTGTGTGTGTGTGTGTGTGTGTGTGTGTGTGTGTGTGTGTGTGTGTGTGTGTGTGTGTGTGTGTGTGTGTGTGTGTGTGTGGGTGCTGTAAAAACTCTGTGAGTCAGACACGAGCACTGCAGATGTGTGCACGAGTGAAACATTGTGTTCTGTAAATGTTTGGGGAAAGGTCCATCCGGTTTCACGCTGCATTTCTGATGACATCTGTGGGCTTACTGCTTTAATTTAAGGATGGAGAGATAGTACGGAGGCTTCTTCTGTGCCAGGTTTCTCTGTATGTTTATAACAAGAGACAAACACAAACGATAGTGTCAACATTTTGTTTTGTTTTTGTTTGTTTTAGAAAAAAATAACATTTAGATGAAATCATCTGTTTTTTCAAATCGTTCAAACATCTACACAGTGGAGAAAACAATCCCAGAATGGATATAAGAACAGAAAACATTGTCTCTCTGATATTATTAAATACATCAGAGTGAAGGTTTTAACCTCCAGCTTCTACAGTAGCAGTGGCAGAAAATAACCCAGAACGCTCTGCAGCTCGTAGCAGCTTCTTCTACTACTGATAAAAAAAACTATTTTTTGTG